GAAAAAAGTTTGGATTATTGATGTTGCCATACCAGGTGACAGTCGAATTGACGAAAAACAACAGGAAAAAACTCAGCCGTTATCAGGACCTAAAAACTGAACTGCAAATGCTCTGTCATAATCCAGTACAGGTAGTCCCAGTGGTCATTGGCACACTGGGTGCCGTGCCAAAAGATTTCAGTCGACATTTGGAAACCATAAACATTGACAAAATCATGATCTGTCAACTGCAAAAGGCCACCTTACTTGGATCTGCACGCATCATTCGAAAATACATCACACAATCCTAAACACTTGGAAAGTGCTTGACTTTTGATTTTGTGATACGAAATCCAGCATAAACGCGTATATCTCGTTTGCTGTGTCATACTGTGTTTTTGTGTCAGTAGAATAATAATTTTATTTCTTACCTGCCTGTCCTCATGGCTCGAAGCGGTTTGCAACATAGTTAAACCACATAATTATTGCAAACATTCTATAAAATACACATAGTAAAATGTATTTCTTTAAAATACACAGAGCAAGGATCAAAACACAGGATGCACATTTCAAATTCATGATTAAAACTGGCTCGGTAGAAGATATATATAGATGGCTTTTTTCCCTGTTGGCCATGCTGAAATTAGTGTGCATTTTACAATGAATGGTGAAAAAATTGGTATTATTATTAGGCTTAGCATGGATTCATTTTGGATGTTTGCCTTCAGTTTGTTTGGAAGCCCGTAACGGCATGAGCTCCATCACCATTTTTTTTACTGGATGCAGTGGAACAGTGGTTGTCGAAAACCAGCTGCTTTCGATTTCTTCTGGTTACATGTTCAGTGTGGGGAGGGATGGAGGGGGACAGCTGCTAGAAGGAAAAGGAATCCAGGAAGCAAAGTTTCTTAAGCCCTTTTTAAAACTCCTTCTATTGTGCAGACAGAAGGGAAAGGATCACAGGAAACGAGTTTTCTTAATTGATGCTTTTAATCAGGTCTTAATGAAGAATATAAGGACAAACAGTTCCTAAAATGATGGGTAGGGGAGCCTAGGAAGTCCCCCCTCTCACATATAATGCACCAAATAGAAAATGAATCTTTCATCTTCCTGGATAGAAAATGGATTTCTGTTCTCCCGAATTTGGGAGGCTCCCAAAAAATTGATTGGGACTCCCACTTAAATCTGGAACACCGAAATGGATTGTGATTTACTCTGATTGCTCAAACCTTACTACTACTACTACTACTACTAGTAGTACTAGTACTAGTACTAGTACTACTATATTGAGGTTGAATGTAGACTGGGATCACTGTTAAGGAGGGCCTGTACCCGGTGAGCATTTACACTAAATCCCAAAGTTCCCAATTGAACACACTCACCAGGAATGAAAGTAGTCACAGAGGTTTATTAGCAATCCATCCCGAAAGGATGCAAGTATGCCTTGTGTAGCCCCCAGTGGAGCTATTACAATGGTTCAACCAATGTCTACCTATGTGAAAACCTGTCACTTGCTGCCTCTTTCAGATCCAGTGGCAAACCTAAGCTATCTCATTTGTTGTGTCATACTGTGTTTTGTGTCAGTAAAATAATAATAACAATAAAAGGGACTCAAGGCGATGAACAAGAAAGTTAGCAAACATTCATTGTTTTACTGGTGAACCGGAGGTTAGACCAATCCCTTCTAAAAGCTTCAAACTATATAAATACTGTATTTGTTGTTGTTCATTCGTTCAGTCATCTCCAACTTGAATCTAATACATCATCAAATCTAATGCGCACCTCAATTTTCAAAATCCTGAAAGGTGCACTCTTTGTAATTTGGCCTTTACGGGTTTTGCCTGCTTAGTATTCCTTCTTTAAAAACAAAAGTGTTAAGAGCACAAAAGCTTCCAGCAATGGTAATGAAACCTTAGATGAATCTATGCATTGATCTATGACCATTAAATTACAGATGATATTCCTCAAATAGGAGCTCCAGGGGCTCCTGAAGCATCTTCCCTTATTGCTTTGGCTCAGCTTGATTTGATATCTCAAGAGAACATGGGGTGTGCCTTCCAGATAGTGGGCAACATGCATCGCTTCCACTGAAATGGCCTTGTGAACTTCTTTTGCCTTTTCTTCCTTCTGCCCAGAATTCACGCTTTAGTTTTCCACTGCTAACCCATTATGTGGAGTTACTTTGCAGTGGCATACAAAAGCACGCAGAAGTTCAACATACAGTGAAAGTCACACACAATTGACTTGGGTCACTCTGGGAATCATTTCAAGTTGGCTTTCCCAACACAGCCATTGGAAACAGACGCTATTTTGTCTGCACAGTTTGTTTTACCAAACTCAGCAAGTGCTTTTTTTGGTAAAGTCTTGGCTCTTTCATAGTAACGTTTTAAGAACAATGATATTGTCCATTATCAAGCTCAAGGTCCTCCAGATGTTTTACAGTTTCCTGAGCTACTCATACGACCTCATCAGACAAGTCACTTTCAGCATTGTAGGATGCTTTCACCTCAGTTGAGCCACGGACCTAACACTGTCCATCAGACAACGCAGGCTCGCTTCTGGCGGGGCTCCATGCCTCAACTGGAGTGCAAGCGTCCCACAACACTGTGCCGGGAACACGGGAGGCTTCCCATGTTCCATTGCAAACCACAGGGTCAGCATGATGATGATTCCCCATGTGTGTTGAGAAAGCATTGCTGTGAGCGAGGCGGGGTGCTGAGATTGCCCCACCAATTCCCCATGGAGGCTGGCGAATCAGCCCGCGGGACCTCATCAATGGGAAGAGGTCCATAGATTTTGGCTTCCAGAACATTTACCATTTTGGTTGCTCTTCTCTGGAATCATTCCAGCTTTTCAATATCCTTTTTGGATTGTGGTGCTCAAAACTGGACACAGTATTCCAGGTGAGGTGATGCTAAGACAGAATGGCGTGGCACGACTGCTTCCCTTGATCTAGACCAGCGTTTCTCAACCTGGGGGTTGGGACCCCTGGAGGGGTTGCGAGGGGGTTTCAGAGGGGTCGCCAAAGACCATCAGAAAACACAGTATTATCTGTTGTTAATGGGGGTTCTGTGTCGGAAGTTTGGCCCAATTCTATCAGTGGGGTTCAGAATGCTCTGATTGTAGGTGAACTATAAACCCCAGCAACTACCACTCCCAAATGTCAAGGTCTATTTCCCCCAAACTTCACCAGTGTTCATATTTGGGCATATTGAGTACTCATGCCAAGTTTGGTCCAGATCCATCATTGTTTGAGTCCACAGTGCTTTCTGGATGTAGGTGAACTACAACTCCCAAATTCAAGATCAGTGCCCACCAAACCCTTCTAGTGTTTTCTGCTGGTCATGGGAGTCCTGTGTGTCACATTTGGTTCAATTCCATTGTTGGTGGTGTTCAGAATGCCCTTTGATTGTAGGTGAACTATAAATCCCAGCAACTGCAACTCCCAAATGACAAAATCAAATTTTCAAGTGATGGTCACTCCTTGGGTTAGTAGGTGTCTTGTGGCCAAATTTGGTGGCAATTTGTCCAGTGGTTTTTTGAGTTATGTTAATCCCACAAACAAACATTACATGTTTATTTATATAGACTAGCATTCCCCTGCCACCCGTTGCTGTGGCCCAGTCTGTGTATATGTTTTGTGTGTGTATAGATATGTTTATGTGTATGCATATATTTGTGTATGTGTATATATGTGTGTTTGGATATATATAGATATAGATATATAGATAGATGGGTGTATATGTGTGTGCATATGTGTATATTTCTATGTGTATATGTATATTGTGTATATACATATACACATAACTCAAGGTCAATGCCCACCAAACCCTTCCAGTATTTTCTGTTGATTGTAGGAGTTCTATGTGTCAAAATTGGTTCAGTTCCTTTCTTGGTGGAGTGCTTAATGCTCTTTGATTGTTGGTGAACTACAACTCAGAAATGACAAAATCAATCCCTCCCAACCCCACCGGTATTCAAATCTGGGTGTATCGGATATTTGTGCCAAATTTGGTCCAGTGAATGATAATACATCCTGCATATCAGATATTAACAATCGTAACAGTAGCAAAATTACAGTTATGAAGTAGCAACGAAAATAATGTTATGGTTGGGGGTCACAACAACATGAGAAACTGTATTAAGGGGTTGTGGCATTAGGAAGGTTGAGAAACACTGATCTAGACACTAAACTATTGTTGATGCAGTCTAGAATAGTATTAACACTATTGAGCTTGTTCAGTTTGTAGTCTACTTAGACTCCTAGATCCAAACAATGGTAAGAGGAACAAAATAAAGGCAGTAGTCCCAGGTCTAGTCCTAAGCAAGATGCAACTGAGGGCACTGTGCTTAGGCCTAGACCAGGCATGGGCAAACTTTGGTCCTCCAGGTGTTTTGGACTTCAACTTCCACAATTCCTAATAGCCTCAAGCCTTTTCCTTTCCCCCCTCAACCGCTTCAGCTGAGGGCACCCATTCAGACATGCTCAGGTTAGGATCAGGAAGCCGTCCACAGACAACAGGCTCCTCGGCATGGAAAAGGGAACAAGATCACTTCCCTATGGCCAGAGTTGAGCACAGCCTGGAGATGCCGGAGATGAAAAGGGGGAAGCCTTTGCCTTCGTCTGTGTAAAGTCTGTCTTTGTTGCTAATTGTATAATGGCATTGAATGTTTGTCATATATGTATTCTGCAATCCACTCTCAGTCCTCTCGTGGAGATAGAGCAGAATATAAATAAAGTATATTATTATATTATTATTGGCACCATATCTGTCCCCATAAAGGCTAGAACTTCTAATCCTTATACGAACAGGGGTAGCCCACCCCTTCAGATGTTGTTGAACTTCCAAATCCCATCATTCCTCTTAATTTGCTGTGCTGGTTTGGATGCATGGGAATTGTTGCCCAGCCACAACAGAAAAGTCACATGTTCCTCACACTTGAAATAGAACATTACAATAGCTTGCATGAGCCAAATGCATGTTTAAGGCATGCCGGTGACTAATGGGTCTTCCTCTTCCTAGGAAGGAGCTCTTGACCTGCTAAAAAGGCTGAACAGCTTCACGATGACTATCCAGCTTCTCCAGGTAAATGAAGAAAATGGGGTGAGCAATCTTGGGGATTGTCATTTATTCATCCATCTCTCCAAGAAGCTCAAGGTGGTGGGTTAAGTGTTCAGACATTTTAAAACTGCGTTTCGTCCCCAAAGGGTAGGCAACCGGATGGGGAGGAAGGACATGTTTTTGCCCCACCATCCCCCACTTGATGCATTGATGTGCCAGTGGAAGACTAGAAGCCATGCTTCATGTGTTTTGCAGCCAACTTTTACATTTTTGGGGGGAGGGGAGGAACAGCGAGTCAAAACAGCTGCATTTGCAGATTGCATTTGGGGGAGTTTTGGCTGATTTGATAGTTGGAAAATCACCCAATAAGATTTACTGGGATTGGTCTCGATGCTTTTGGGTTTTGGTACCAGGAACATACCAGTAGTTCAAATCTGGAGAGAACTGGTTGAACTCCCTCTGTCAGCTCCAGCTCCTCATGTGGGGACATGAGAGATGTTTTACAATCCCACAAGGATCGTAAAACATCAAACATTTGGGCCTCCCCTGGGCAACGTCCTTGCAGACGGCCAATTCTCTCATACCAGAAGTGACTTGCAGTTTCTCAAGTCGCTCCTGACATGAAAAATATTATTATTATTTATCATTAAGCAGAAGCTGGATGTCCATCTGTCAGGAGGTACTTTGATTGTGCTTTTCCTGCATGCCAGGAGGTTGGACTAGATGACCCATGTGATCTCTTCCAACTATGATCCTTGATTCTAAGAGCAGAGCTTAGGAAAAAAAATATTTACTAGACTACAACTCTTGGTTATGATGGTGATGAGGCTGCAGAAGTATAGCCCAAACTTTCTGAATCAATGGGTTGGAGACTTATAGGTGTTTACAAGGGATACCTCATTCCCTCTGAAAATTTATGCTAATCCCACTGCCTTTCTTTTCAGACGACAAGAATAGGCATAGCTGTCAACACCATTCGTAAGCACAGCCGAGATGAGGAGGTGATCGCTTTGGCAAAAGTCCTCATCAAGAACTGGAAGAGGTTGCTTGGTAAGAGGCTGAGAAGGAAGGCCCTCTTGTGTTCTTTCCATACAAAAGTCCCTTTATGGATTGATTGCCATTCAGTAGGCAGTGAGGTTTGGTGACTTTGCAGAGATAAGTATCCCTTCTGTTTAAAGGACCGAGCAGGAGAGCATTTTGTAACTGAATTCAAGGAATGCCATCACTCTGCTGTAGTTTTCACAAGTTGTCAGAAGGTTGCTAATGATGGTAAATCAAAGAATGTCATCAATTATTTTTTTTTTGTTGTGTCAGGAGTGACTCCTGGTGTGAGAGAATTGGCCGTCTGCAAGGACGTTGCCCAGGGGACGCCTGGATGATTTGATGTTTTTATCATCCTTGTGGGAGGCTTCTCTCATGTCCCCGCATGAGGAGCTGGAGCTGATAGAAGGAGCTCATCTGCCTCTCCCCGGATTCGAACCTGCGACTTGTTGGTCTTCAGTCCTGCCGGCACAGGGGTTTAACCCACTGCGCCTCAGGGGGCTCCTTGTCATGATGGTAAATCAAAGAATGTCTGGGTTAAACCCCTGTGCTGGCAGGACTGAAGACTGACAGGTTGCAGGTTCAAATCCGGGGAGAGGCGGATGAGCTCCCTCTATCAGCTCCAGCTCCTCATGCGGGGACATGAGAGAAGCCTCCCACAAGGATGATAAAACATCAAAATCATCCGGGCGTCCCCTGGGCAACGTCCTTGCAGACGGCCAATTCTCTCACACCAGAAGCGACTTGCAGTTTCTCAGGTTGCTCCTGACACGACCAAAATAAATAAATAAAAAAATCAAAGAATGTATTGCTAATGATGGTAAATCAAAGAATGTCATCAAAGAATGTATTGCAGATCATAGCAAGACAATAAAATATGTAAAGATAAAATAAATGTTGGGTTTCATCCCTCTACTGCAAAAGTCTCTTGTGTCATCAAGTTTCTAGTTCTCAATGAGTCGCTAGACTAGAGATAGGATCAGAGTGAGGGATTCCTCCTATGCATTCTTATGCATTCCTATGCATTCTTATCCCAGAAGGGGCTTTGTTTTCACTCCTCCTCCTCCTTGCCACTGTCTCCTCCCCCTTTGAAGACGTAGCAATGTAATCTTTGTGAGGTCACTTCCTTTTTAAAGTATTTTTGATTGCCCTGGGCTTGGCCTCCATTTTTTTTCCCCTACCTTTTCCTTCCTTCCAGTGAAGACACATTTTGCCCCCCTCTCTAGGCAAAATGTAGTTGCATGGATATTTTTGACTTTTTGTTCTTCTACCTTTCTTAGAAGATAAGATTTAGTAAGCTAGTGAGCTCCAAGATCTCGTCTATCTAGAACAGTGGTTCTCAACATTCCTAATGCCGCGACCCCTAAATTCAGATCCTCATGTGGTGGTGACCCCCAGCCATTAAATTATTTTCATTGCTACTTCATAATTGTAATTTTGCTACTGTTATGAATCGTTATGTAAATATCTGGTATGCAGGATGTATTCTTATTGGAGTGTTATGGGAGGATTGATTTTGTCATTTGGGAGTTGTAGTTGCTGGGATTTATAGTTCACCTACATTCAAAGAGCATTCTGAACTCTACTAACGATGGAATTGGACCAAACTTGGCACACAGAACTCCCATGACCAACAAAAAATACTGGAAGGGTTTGGTGGGCATTGACCTTGAGTTTGGGAGTTGCTGTTCACCTACATCCAGAGAGCACTGTGGACTTAAACAATGATGGATCTGGACCAAACTTGGTACAAATATTCAATATGCCCAAATGTGAACACTGGGAGTTTGGAAATAGACCTTGACATTTGGGAGTTGTAGTTGCTGGGATTTATAGTTCACCTACAACCAAAGAGCATTCAGAAGCCCACCAACGATATAATTAGGCCAAACTTCCCACACAGACCAACAGAAGATACTGTCTGTGATGGTCTTTGGTGACCCCTCTGACATCCCCTCACGACCCCTCCAGGGGTCCTGACCCCCAGGTTGAGAACCACTGATCTAGAATGTATTTCTTTACTTCAATAAACATTTTTGAATCTAAAGTTGTGACTCTGTAATCCTGTGTCATCCTGTTGAATGGAAGCTTATCCCAGCTCACCACATGTAAGTTTCTGCTGGTTATGAAGTTTTCTTCTAGTACTCTGCTATATTTATGGTGGAATCACCCCATAACAGCTCAGATTCCCCAACAGAAAAATAGATGACTTCCATTCTTTATCTAATTCATTAGATATCGTTCATCCTTCTCTATAACACCAATACTCACTAACTTCCTCCTATGACCAAATCCTTTCTAATCATCAAAGCAAAAAAAATAGCAAGTCATTTCCTTTATTTTCTTTTCTCCCCTACCAAAAATCCATTTTTTAAAAAAAATGACAATTTATCTGTTTCTATTACATTGGTCAATTTCACTAGCCAATCCGCTGGGATCAGAGAGCGCCCTAGGTAATTTTCAACGGTAAGCAAACAGTATTTTGGCACCTCCCCACCAAACCAATCATTGATACATATTTTCTGTTTGTCGTGGGAGTTCTGTGTACCATATTTGGTTCAATTCCATCATTGGTGGAGTTCAGAATGCTCTGTGATTGTAGGTGAACTATTTATTTATTTATTTAGAAGTCTTCTATACCGGCCTTCTCACCTCAGCGAGGGACTCAGGTCGGTTTACAGCATATATGAAAGTACAATAATATATAAGTACACAAAGTGCAACGTCATTACATATTAAAATAGTACAATAAAGTACAAAAAACATCATCATCACAATTACCTAAGCCAAGTCGTCAATCCAGTCATAGTCATAGTCATAATCATAGTCACAGTTCATCATCCTCCTTCCTTGTGGACGGAGGTTATAGATTCAGTCCTCGAATGCCACATTCCAGAGCCAGGTTTTTAGTAGTTTCCTGAAAGTCAGGAGGGAGGGAGCAGATCTCATCTCTAGTGGGAGGGAGTTCCAAAGCCGGGGAGCCACCACCGAGAAGGCCCTGTCCCTCGTCCCCACCAACCGTGATTGCGAGGGTGGTGGGACCGAGAGCGCCCCCCCCCGGAAGAACTATACATCCCAGTAACTACAACTCGCATATGTCAAGGTCTATTTTCTCCCAAGAGCGCCCCTAGGCAAAATCAACTCTACTGCTAATGCTTACTTTGCGTAATGGGTTGAGCCGCCCCTGGCTGGGATGGATAAATCTGAATCCTTTCTTCCTTTTGTGCACATAACAGTCTCATTCTGTGGATGTGTATTGCATAGTCTGCCATTGCTCTTCTCTAGCTGGATATCCAGTTCTGGTCTTAATAAAAATCTTTAAAATCCTCTGCTTTTTCACATCTGTCAAAAATTGTGAAATATGAAGCTATTTTGCTTCGATCCCCAAATATACTGGGGACTATGTTCCTTGACTATTTGGATACACAAAACAGTAGCAAACTATAGAAGGAAGGACTTTTGACCTAATAATGTTATAGAGCTGTGTTTGAGGCCCTAGAAAATGCCTAGAGAAAGCACGGATAAGTGAAAATGAGGATACATGTTCCATGGATATGAGGGAGTACTGTACTTTGGAACCAAGTTACAAATGTAAACAACTTTTCTGGCAATATATGCCAATGGTACAACAGTCTCCATAGATCTAGTAGCCAAGAAGACTTTTTCCCTCTTACCTTAGTCATGTTCTTTTCAAGTAAACAAAGTTCACAAGGAGTTGAGCAAAGCTGAGCCTATGAGAGCAAGTCCAGCTTCTCTCCTCCCTCCGGAACTGGTTCTCCCTCTTTCTCCGCCAAAGCTTTCTCTACTGTGAATTCTGCACAGAGATGTCAATCTGCTATTAATCCTTCACCCAGAAGTCCAAATCAAACCTACTGGATCTCATTTTCTCTTTCAGAGTCAAACTGGTTCTCCCTCTTTCTTCACTTCACTTCACTTCACTTTATTTCTTAATTAGTTGCTCTCCACCAAGGTGCTCTGAGCGACTTACAATTTAAAATAGCATTTCACAATATAAAAACATTCAACATAAAAACATTCAACAGTGACTATTTGGCGAATTAGATCTGATTACTTAAATGCACAACCAAACAGCCAAGTCTTGAGCGCTTTTACAAAAGGTTGCAACTCCGACATTGCTCTAACATATGGAGGCAATGAGTTCCATAGAATTGGAGCATAGGTCGAAAAAGCTCTACGCCTTGTAGCTTCCAGGTATACCTCCCTAGGGCCCAGTATGTATAGGAGATGTTCCTGGGTGGATCGAGGTGACCACTGATGGAAAAAAGGAATGAGGCGGTCCCTAAGATATAAAGGTCCTTGGCCATTTTGAGCTCTAAATGTCAGGATCAGTATCTTGTAAGAGATCCGATGTTCTATTGGTAGCCAATGCAGTTGTTGCAGAATCGGTGTAATATGGGATCTTATAGATGATCCCGCTAGCAGCCTGGCCGCCGCATTTTGGACCATCTGAATCTTCTGGGTTGTTGACTTCGGAAGGCTGGCATATAAGGCGTTGCAATAGTCCAACCTAGTGGTGACTGTTGCGTGGATTACCGTTGCCAATGCTTCTACCGAAATGTAGGATGCCAATTTCCTTGCCTGGCGAAGATAAAAAAAGGCCTGCTTACTTATGATAGTGATCTGTGCCTCCATCGTCAGCATTGAGTCCAACACAACCCCAAGGCTTTTAACAGTGGAAGACGGAACCAGAACTTCCCCATCGAAATAAGGCAGAGACTGGATTAATTCTGGCGGCTGGCCGGGCCAGAGTATCTCAGTTTTTGCAGGATTCACTTTTAGTCTGCTCGCTCGTAGCCAACTCATCACTGCTTCCAAACACAGCTTTCTCTGCCAAAGCTCTCACTGATGTGAATTCTGTGCAGAGATGTCAATCTGTTATTAATCCTTCACCCAGAAGTCTATTAATGACAGCAAATCAAACATGTTGGATCTCATTTTCTCTTTCAGAGTCGTCAGAATCCCAGAAGAGTAAGAAAGAGGAGAAAAAGAGAGAAAAGGCAAACCATAGCCTGGGTCCGAAAGCTGAAGAGGCACTTTCTCACCACACAGAACTTTGCAAAAGTCCGGATGGAAAGCAAAAAGAGCGGTATTGATTGCCATGTTAGGGATCCTTTGGTGCAAATAGTGGCACATTCACCCAGCCATATGCTGGACTGCAAGTCCCAGAAACCCATTATTATTATTATATTGTTATTATTGTTATTATTGTTATTATTATTAATATTATTATTATTATTATATTTATATTTATTTGTACCTTGCTTTACCTCTCCCGAAGGGGACTCCAAGTGGCTTGATATAAAAGCATTAGCATACAATTTTACTTATTATTATTACTATTACTATTACTACTATTATTATTTGGTTGTTGTAGGTTTTTCCGGGCTATATGGCCACGTTCTAGAACCCTCTAGAACATGGCCATATAGCCCGGAAAAACCTACAACAACCCAGTGATTCCAGCCATGAAAGCCTTCGACAATATATTATTATTATTATTATTATTATTATTATTACTACTACCCTGCTTTATCTCTCCTGAACAAGGCTCAAAGCAGCTCAATATAACAGCATTAACACACAATTTAAAATATACAATTATTATTATTATTATTATTATTATTATTATTATTATTATTATTATTTATATCCCACTTTGTCTCTCCCAAAGGGGACTCAAAGTGGCTTGACATAAAACATTAGCACAAAATTTTAAATATACAAATATGCAAACCTTAAAACAGGAATAAATATAAACAGTATTTTAAAAACATTCAAACAAATTCAAAGCCTCTGAAGACTGCCCGGAAGCTTCAATTAGTCCAACGTGCAGCAGCCAGACTACTAACGGGAGCGGGGTACAGGGAGCATACTACTCCTCTGTTTCGCCAACTCCATTGGCTACCATTCAGCTTCCGAGCACAATTCAAAGTGCTGGTCTTAACCTATAAAGCCCTAAACGACTCCGGCCCAATTTACTTGTCCGAACATATCCTCCCCTATGAACCATCAAGATTGCTAAGATCGTCTGGAGGGGCCCTGCTCTCGATCCCACCGGCCTCACAGGCGTGGCTGGTGGGGTCGAGAGACAGGGCCTTCTCGGTGGTGGCCCCTCGACTCTGGAACTCCCTTCCACTGGAGATCAGAACTGCCCCTTCTATCTTAACGTTCAGGAAACAGGTGAAAACTTGGCTTTGGGGATTGGCATTTGACTAATGAGCCATGATCCTGTGATATGGATGGATGACGACGAATAATGATTTTGATGACGTCTGATCACTGTAATTATATGATTGTATTTTGCTATTTTAATGTTTTAGTGTGATTTAGAATATGATGTTTTAATGACTGTCTGTAATGTTGATGTTGGAAACTGGCCTGAGTCCCTCGAACGGAGGTGAGAAGACCGGTATACAAAACTGCTAAATAAATAAATAAAGCATGCGGAAGATTAAAAAACACAGCACCCCTAAATTGATCTTTAAACCTTCTTCTTTAAAAGCCTGTCTGAATAAAAAGGTTCCCTGTTTCCCCAAAAATAAGACATCCCTTGAATTGCTAAATATAAGGCCTCCCCGAAAGTAAGACCTAGCAAAGTTTTTGTTTGGAAGCATTCTCCCCCTGGTAGCCAGAAACTGCAGTGCCATCCCAGATGTACAAGTGGTCCAGGAACTGCTGTGGGAGATTGTGACAGTTTTCCGACAGTGTGTGGGAGCCAGGGACTTTACAGCCCTTATTTTTTGTGGCCCTGTGTGTGAGTCAGGCAACCAGTGAGACCAGACAACTACTGTACCATATATAATAAATGTTCAATTTTTTGTTCAACAATACATTTGCATTCTTCTTCATGGAAAAATAAGACATCCCCTGAAAATAAGACCTAGTAGAGGTTTTGCTAAATATAACGAAAGTAAGACCTACCCAGGGACTTTACAGCCCTTAATTTTTGTGGCCCTGTGTGTGAGTCAGGCAACCAGTGAGACCAGACAACTACTGTACGGTATACAATGTTCATTTTTTGTTCAGCAATAAATTTGAATTCTTTTTCATGGAAAAATAAGACATCCCCTGAAAATAAGACCTAGTGCATCTTTGGGAGCAAAAATTAATATAAGTCTCTGTCTTATTTTAGAGGAAATGGCGTTTTAGCCATGGTGGCTGGATTAATGACTGGTGCAACCCAATAACATTATTGTTAGTATTGGTATTAGTAGCTATATCCTGCTTTTTCTTTCCCAAAGGAAAGTCCACATCTTCCCAACATGCAAACAAGCCACACAATCTATGTTAGTTAATATTCGTTCTTATGTGGGAAGAGAGGAAGGGTCATTAATTCTTCTGAGATGGGAAATGGTAAGAACGGAAGCATGGCTGTGCTGTTCTCCATTCCTAATGTTTGTTTGTTTTTCACAAGTCCCTCTGAGGAGTCCTTTGACATGTTTGAAAGGCAGGGAAACATTTTAGAGTGCCTGCACTGAGTTGACGTTTGAGTGTCTCAGGCATGAAAGGCATTAACTGTTCTTTGACCTCTCCAGATTTATTTATTTTTCTCTTTCCAGAAAATTGAACAAGTCCATCTCTCAGGAGGCAGAGCCAAAAAGTTCTTCATCTATAGTCCCCAAGCCAGACAGGTATAGTTTGCTAATCGAAGGAACATTTAAAGGGGAATGTAAACACAATGTGGTTGAGTCATAGTATTGCAGTTGTTCATTCATTCAGTCACTTCTGACTCTTTGTGACCTCATGAACCAGCCCATGCCAGAGCTCCCTGTCGGCCGTCACCACCCCCAGCTCCTTCAAGGTCAAGCCAGTCACTTCAAGGATGCCGTCCATCCATCTTGCCCTTGGTCAGCCTCTCTTCCTTTTTCCTTCCATTTTCCCCAGCATAATTGTCTTCTCTAAGGTTTCCTGTCTTCTCATTATGTGGCCAAAATACTTCATTTTGGCCTCTACTATCCTTCCCTCCAGTGAGCAGTTGGGCTTTATTTCCTGGAGTATGGACTGGTTGGATCTTCTCGCAATCCAAGGCACTCTCAGAACTTTCCTCCAACACCACAGTTCAAAAGCATCTATCTGCCTTCACTCAGCCTTCCCTAAGGTCCAGCTCTCACATCCATAGGTGACTACGGGGAATACCATTGCTCTGACTATTTATTTATTTATTTACTTTATTTGTATACCGCTCTTCTCAGCCCTTAGGCGACTCAGAGCGGTTAACAGCAACAGTCTCAGTATACAAAATACAAGGTTATTGGGTATTTAAAAGCAATCACATAACAAGTTAATTAAACAGTAAACATCAATACAACGATATATCAATACATCAATATAACAAATCCATCAGATCTCATCACTAGAATCAGAATCCAGTCTCGTTATCCATTATTCCATGTTCCGCTAATCAATCAATTACACTGCTTAGTCAAATGCCTGTTCAAACGGCCAGGTCTTCACTTTTCTCCGGAATGTCAGTAAGGAGGGGGCCAATCTGATGTCTGCAGGAAGGGCGTTCCACAGCCGAGGGACCACCACTGAGAAGGCCCTGTCTCTCGTCCCCGCCAGGCGTGCTTGTGAAGCTGGCGGGACCAAGAGCAGGGCCTCCCCAGACGATCTTAATGTCCTAACTGGTTCATAGGAGGAGATGCGTTCAGACAGGTAGATCGGGCCAGAACCGTTCAGGGCTTTAAAGGCTAAAGCCAGCACTTTGAATTGTGCCCGGTAGCAAATTGGCAGCCAGTGGAACTGGCGCAACAGAGGAGTTGTATGCTCCCTGAGTGCCGCTCCTGTTAGCATCTTGGCTGCCGATCGTTGGACCATTTGAAGCTTCCGAGCAGTCTTCAAAGGCAACCCCACGTAGAGAGCATTGCAGTAGTCTATACGGGATGTAACCAGAGCGTGGACTACCGTGGCCAAGTCAGACTTCCCAAGGTACGGGTGCAGCTGGCACACAAGTTTTAACTGTGCGAATGCTCCCCTGGTCACCGCTGAAACCTGAGGTTCCAGGCTCAGCGATGAGTCCAAGATCACACCCAAGCTGCGAACCTGCGTCTTCAGGGGGAGTGTAACCCCCCAACCAGTCCTGAGGCATGGACTGGTTGGATCTTCTTACGGTCCAAGGCACTCTCAGAACTTTCCTCCAACACCACAGTTTAAAAGCATCTGTCTTCCTTCACTCAGCCTTCCCTAAGGTCCAGCTCTCACATCCATAGGTGACTATGGGGAATACCATTGCTCTGACTATGCGGATCTTCTTTGCAAGTGTGATGTCTCTACTTTTCACTATTTTATTGAGATTGGTCATTGCTCTCCTCCCAAGAAGTAAGCAGTACCGTCTCTTTTTTTCTTGAAAGCAACACCCAGGTGCCCTGCCTTTATTATATCAATTAGGGGTGTGCAAATTTTTATTAGTCATTGTAAGACGTATCAAATTCATTAAATTCGTACTTACGATGTGATATCCAATGCGTGCGCCAAAAACTTAAGAATCAAAACTTACCCAATAATTTTTGTTTGAATTCTGTAAATCTCGGAAGGCTCTCAAAGTCAGCTTCATGCTCTCTGTGAGGTTGCCTTTGAAGATAGTTTGGAAGCGGCAACTGGTGCAGAGATCGGCGGCCACATTACTAACTGGGGTGCCGAGCAGGGAGCGGACAGCTCCCATGTTACAGGAGCTCCACTGGCTGCCAGTTTGCTTCCAGGCTAAATACAAAGTGCAAATCATTACTCATAAAGCCCTAAACGGTTCAGGCCCAGACTATCTGAAATACCGCATCTCCTTGTATAAATCGGCACGAGCACTTCGGTGTGCGGTGGAGACCTGACTCTTGGTCCACCCCGTCTCAAGTATGGCTGGTGGGAATGAGAGAGGGGCCTTCTCAGTGACTGCTCCCTGCCTCTGGACTCTCTCCTGAAAGAACTAAAAATTGCTCCCTCTCTCCCCTCCTTTAAAAAGCTTTTAAAGACCTACTTGTGTAAATTAGCTTACAAAGAGGAGGAGGATTGTTGAAGGCTTTCATGGCCAGAATCACAGGTTGCTGTGAGTTTTCTGGGCTGTCTGGCCATTTTCCAGAAGCATTATCTCCAGACATTTCGCCTGCATCTATAGCAGGCATCCTCAGAGGTTGAGGGGTCTGCCATAGATGTGGGCAGGAGAGAATCCTTCTGGAACATGGCCATACAGACCAGAAAACACAGCAACCCAGGAGAAGGATTAATATATCTGACCCATACTCCCGCCCTGACAACGGATATTTTTCCTCAGCTACGTTATATGCTATATCTTATAATATATTGCTCTTTTAAGGTATTGTATATTAATTAGTCTGATTTTTTGTGTTTTATGTTCATTGAGCCAATCCTTGTTTGATTGTTATAAGTTATATTGAGTTTGCCATTTTGTTATTACTGTAAACCTCCCTGAGTCCCTTTGGGGAGAGAGGGTGGATTATAACTAAAGTATTATTATTATTATTATTATTATTATTATTATTATTATTATTATGTATAGAAATGTAGCTTTAATGTGCATCTTTTATAGAAATATGTATGTTCGTTGAATTTTTGCATTGCTCGTGTTTTTTAATTGTGTTGTAACCCGCCTTGAGCTGCAGGGAGAGGCGTGTAAGAAATAAAATCATTATTGTTGTTGTTATCATCTACTTTCCGGAGCCCCCAGTGTTGCAGCAGGTTAAACTGCTGAGCTGCTGAACTTGCTGACCAAAAGGCCAGCGGTTTGAATTCAGGAGTGGAGTGAGCTCCCGCTGTTAGCCCCACCTTCTGCCAACCTAGCAGTTTGAAAACATGCAAATGTGAGTAGATTAATAGGTACCGCTTCTGCGGGAAGGTAACAGCACTCCATGCAGTCATGCTGGCCACATGACCCTGGAGGTGTCTGTGGACAATGCTGGCTCTTTGTCTTAGAAATGGAGATGAGCACCACTCCCCGGAGTTGGACACGACTAGACTTAATGTCAAGGGGAAACCTTTACTTTCTGGAGGAAGAATTCTTTTTATTCAACTCCAATTTATTCCCAATTAATTCTTCCATTTCCTTCTTTACCTTGTTGTAAAATGTTTGTACTTTGTCGCATTCTCACCGCATATGCATATAGGAACCAATTTCTCTGCATCTGTGCCAACATAATTTTGTGGCTGATTTAGTTATGTGAGCTAATTTAATTGGGGTTCCATGCCATTTGGTTAATATTTTCCTTTATGCACTTGATTTCCACCCTCCTGTGAGAAGTAGTGGATATAATCCTCAGGATCTGGCATGCCTGAATATCGGATTCTATCCTTTATATGCAGGGATTCCAAAGGTGCTTCATCTGCCTCCAAAAAGCTGCACCTGGAGCTCAGGAAAGAAAGGTAGGTGTGCTTTTTTACACCTCGAATTGTCTTTTTATGGTGCGCCGTCTTTCCCTTTCCATGGCCCCCTGTTTGCAACTTGTGTCTTCTTTGCTTCCGTATAAAGGAGAGATTCAGAAGACTCACTGTCTTCCATGGTGGCCTCCTCTTCCTCTCCTTCCTCTCCCAGGAGATTGTCTGGAGACAGGTAAGCCAGTTAGCTGTGATAATATCACATATTTCTGATTATTTTTTTAAAATTGCATTTCAGTTAATTTGGCAAGCTTGGAGAAGTTTTTTCCATAGTTGTATTTCAGTAAAGTTATTTTAGCAAGTTCGCAAAAGGCACAGAGTCTTTGCCGTCTGACCCCTTCTTGTTCCTTTTCACTTTTTTTGCATTTTGGCACAAAACACCAAATTGCATTGTAATCCATTAAAAATAAATAAATATGGGGCTGCTGGAGTCGGGAGTTGAGTGGTAAAGCCTGCCACAGTAAGGTGTTTTGACCTTCTAAAAAAGGAGAAAGTCGGTGGAGGAACAAGAGAATGTGGCAACACCTTTAACGTAAACTCATTTTTGTTTTAGCATAAGATGTGCCTGCCTTAAAATCACTCAGAAAGTCCTCAAAGGCATGAAAGCATGCAAAAGGCATTCCCCTTGAGCACTTTTATGCTTGCTTTCTTTCTTCTGTTGTCACTTTCAGAAGGGCACCTAGCTTATGGAGAGGGGGAGGACTAGCATATCTTACACACATTCTCGCCCAGACATAGGACACCTGTCTCAGCCCGATGATATAATACGTTATACTATGCTATTAATGTATTGTGTTTAATTGGTTTGACTTCTTGTGTTTATGGTGTTTATTTAGTTTAACCCTCGGTTCTGGTTGTTTATAAGTCTTTTGAGTCTATTTATTACAGTAGAGTCTCGCTTATCCAATCTTTGCTCATCCAGCCTTCTGTATGATCCAACGCAGTCTGCCTCCCGCCCGGATCCACAGCTGTTTCAATACATTGCGATGTTTCGGTGCTAAATTTGTAAATACAGTAATTACCACATAACAGTACCATGTATTGAACTGCTTTTTCTTAATGTCAGGTGAAACCTTTACCTTTATCTAAGAAGCAGCATTTGGTGATTGGCCATAATAATAATAATAATAATAATAATAATTATTATTATTATTATTATTATTATTATTATTTCTTACTTGCCTCTCTTCATGGCTTGAGGTGGTTTTCAACATAGTTTAGCCAAATAATTATTGTAAATGTTCTATAAAATGCACATTTTGTTGTTCATTCGTTCAGTCGTCTCCGACTCTTCGTGACCTCATGGACCAGCCCACACCAGAGCTCCCTGTCGGCCGTCACCACCCCCAGCTCCTTCAAGGTCAGTCCAGTCACTTCAAGGATGCCATCCATCCATCTTGCCCTTGGTCGGCCCCTCTTCCTTTTACCTTCCACTTTCCCCAGCATAATTGTCTTCTCTAGGCTTTGCTGTCTCCTCATGATGTGGCCAAAGTACTTCAACTTTGTTTCTAGTATCCTTTCCTCCAATGAGCAGTCGGGCTTTATTTCCTGGAGGATGGACTGGTTTGATCTTCTCGCAGTTGAAGGCACTCTCAGCACTTTCCTCCAACACCACAGCTCAAAAGCATCGATCTTCCTTCGCTCAGCCTTCCCTAAGGTCCAGCTCTCACATCCGTAGGTTACTACAGGGAATATCATGGCTTTGACTAGGCGGATCTTTGTTGCCAGTGTGATGTCTCTACTCTTTACGATTTTATCGAGACTGGACATTGCTCTCCTCCCATAAAATGCACATACTAAAATGTATTTCTTTAGCATACATAGAACAAAGATTAAAATACAGGATGCACATTTAAAATTAATGATTAAAACTGGCTGGGTAGAATATATATATATATATATATATATATATATATATTCTACAATCCAATCCAATGCATCCTGTCTCCCACCCGGATCCACAGCTGTTTCAATACATTGCAATGTTTGGTGCTAAATTTGTAAATACAGTAATTACCACATAACAGTACCATGTATTGAACTGCTTTTTCTTAATGTCAGGTGAAACCTTTACCTTTATCTAAGAAGCAGCATTTGGTGATTGGCCATAATAATAATAATAATAATAATTATTATTATTATTATTATTATTATTATTTTATTTCTTACTCACTTGTCCTCATGGCTTGAGGTGGTCTGCAACATAGTTAAGCCACATAATTATTTAAAATGTTCCATAAAATGCACATAGTAAAATGTATTTCTTTAGAATACACAGAACAAAGATTAAAACACAGGATGCACATTTAAAATTTATGATTAAAACTGGCTGGGTATATATATATATATATATATATATATATATATATATATGGCTTGGTTGATCCAGTTCGTTAATTTCTTAATTCGTTATTAATTCGTTAAATAATTACCTTTAGAAGCGATATCGACACGTTTTGGCAACCCGGAAGTGTTTTTGCCATATCGAAGCCGCGCCCCCATCTTCCTTACGACTTCCACCAGTGAATCGTAAATGCTGGGGGCGTGGCCTTTAGGAACAGCTGTTCTTACCCACGCCCACCTCCTTCCTCTTTGCATCGGCGGCTTTGCGAGGTGGGCGTGACTACCTCCCTGGCGACAAGCGGCGATGCGGAAGAGCTGGGCGTAGCCACGGCCACCTTGCAAAGCCGCCGTTGCAAAGAAGAAGGAGGTGGGCATGGCCAAGCACAGCGATCCTCGGAGGTCGCTGGGGGCGAGGCCTCCGAGGAGCTCTGTGCTTGGCCACGCCCACCTCTCCCTTTGACAGCTTGCCAGGGAGGGGAAAGAAAGGTGAGAGATTTAAAAACCAACACTTTTAAAATCTCTCACCTTTCTTTCTCTTCCCTGGCAAGCTGTCCAAGGGAGGTGGGCATGGCCAAGCACAGCGATCCTCGGAGGTCGCTGGGGGCGAGGCCTCTGAGGAGCGCTGTGCTTGGCCATGCCCACCTCTTCCTTTGACAGCTTACCAGGGAAGAGAAAGAAAGGTGAGAGATTTTAAAAGTGTTAGTTTTAAAATCTCCAAGGAGCACTGTGCTTGGTCGCTGGGGGCGAGACCTCCAAGGAGCTTGCTTGGCCACGCCCACCTCTCCCTTCTGCCGCAAGGGAAGGAAGGGAAACTGCGAAATTTTAATGGTTCTGGAGGGAGTGAAGGGCACCTTCCATTAACGAAACAAAGGAAACGATTCGTATTTCCTGGTAATTTCAATCTTTTTTAAAATAAAATTTTGGTAATGATTTAAAAATCGAACCTCCAGCACCCCCTACATACGAAACGAGTTTAGAACCATTTTTTTCTTGATCAACCAAGCCATATATATATATATATATATATATATATATATATATATATACACACACACACACACACACACACACACACACACACACACATATATATATATATACATACATACAGCATACGCATGCATTCTTACAATGAATGGTGTCTAAGAATTGATAAAATATGATATTATTATTAGGCTTGGACATGGATTCTTTTTGTACGTTTGCCTTCAGCTTGCTCGGAAGCCCGTAATGGCATGGGCTCCGCCGCCATTTTTTTTTACCAGATGCAACAAAACAGTGGTTGCCAAAAACCTGCTGCTTTTGGTTTCTTTTGGTTACATGGTCAGTGTGGGGAGAGGGGCAGCTGCTAGAAGGGAAAGGATCCCAGGCAGTGAGATTTCTTAACTTTGATGCTTTTAATCCAGCTCTTAATGAAGGATATAAGGACAAACGATTCTTAAAATGACGGGAAGGGGAGCCTGGGAAGTCCCCTCTCCCCCATAATGTGCCAGATAGGAAATAAATCTTTCAGTTTCCCAGATAGAAAACAGATTGGGACCGCCCACGGAAATACAGGACACCGAAATGGATTGCAGTTTACCCGGATTGCTCAACCCTAATTATTATTATTATTATTATTATTATTATTATTATTATTATTACTATTATATTGAGGTTGAATTTAGACTAGGACTGTGGTTAAGGAGGGCCCATGCCTGGTAAGTGTTTACACTAAAGCCCAAAGTTCCCAATTGAACACACTCAGCAGGAGTGCAAGCAGTCACAGCTGTTTATTCACAATCCATCCAGAAAGCATGCCGGTATGGCTAGCACCAAAATGTCCAAGCATATGCTTTGAGCTGTCCCCAGTGGATTTATTACGATGGTTCAAACTAGTAGTTTTTACCAACATCTACCTATGTGAAGACCTGTCACTTGCTGCCTCTTTCAGATCCAGTGGCAAGCCTAAGCTTGAGAGTCCCAAGTCACCCACCAGTCCAATGACTCCAACATTTGCTTCTTCCGTCTGCTTCTTGGCGTCTTGTTATCTGACCGGAGACTCTGTCCGGGACAAATGCATTGAAATGATTTCCGCAGCTCTCAAAATGGATGGTGAGAACAAAAAATAGCTCTGCTTTGCCTTGGGAAATATTTCAAATGTTGGATGCTCCAATTCATCGTTACAAATGAGAAAAGCAACCAGAAAGGCATTATTTGGCCTTTTAGGTGGGGCCATATGCTATGCTTTTTTTTCCTTGTGGCTTCAGCGCTTAGATTACCATATATACCAGGGCTAGGCCAACCTGGGCCCTCCCTCCACGTGTTTTGGACTTCAACTTGCACAACTCCTAACAACTGGTAGGCTGTTAGAAATTGTGGGAGTTGAAGTCCAAAACACCTGGAGGGCCCAAATTTGCCCATGCCTGGTATATAATCATATATATAAGTCGATGGCAGGTTTTAAAGCGAAACTTATGGATTTTGATATGACCTGTGGATAAGTCGAGGGTCATTTTTTTCAAATATTCCACCACCGTTTTCTCACATGGAAATGAAAAAGACCACAAGCAGTTTTCATGTGTTTTGTGTGTGTGTGTGTGCAAAACATACAACCCACTTCAAATATGGACTTTAAACATTGAAAGTAGGGAACCCAATATAAATTATACAGTTGCCTTCCATACCCATGGATTCTGTATCCATTGATTCACACACACTCACACATACACACACATACATACATAGGGACACCATTTTAATATGCTAGTGTATATAATGGGATTTGAGCATCCATAGATTTTGGTATCTACGGAAGTCCTGGAATCAAACTTCAGCAAATAACAAGGGTCCACTGTACCGAGATATATATATATATATATACACACACACACACTAGCCGTCCCCTGCCACGCATTGCTGTGTCCCAGTCTGGTGTTCTGGAAAATAAAGTAATGAGAAAGTGTTAGTTTTTAATATAAGTAATGTCTTTATGCTTGTGGGTAAACAGTATTTCTTGTTGTTTCTTTCTCAGTGTTGATGTGGAGATTGTCTGCTTTACCTACTCTGGAACATGCAACATATCATTGTTTTCATGTGTTTTGTGTGTGTGTGTGTGTGTGTGTGTGTGCAAAACATACAACCCACTTCAAATATGGACTTTAAACATTGAAAGTAGGGAACCCAATATAAATTATACAGTTGCCTTCCATACCCATGGATTCTGTATCCATTGATTCACACACATACACACACATACAAACACACACACATACATACATACATATACATACACACACACATATATATACAAACACACACACAAGCCGTCCCCTGCCACGCATTGCTGTGGCCCAGTCTGGTGTTCTGGAAAATAAAGTAATGAGAAAGTCAGTTCTTGTGGGTTTTTTCGGGCTATATGGCCATGTTCTAGAGGCATTTCTCCTGACGTTTCGCCTGCATCTATGGCAAGCATCCTCAGAGGTGAGGTCTGCGAGAGAGAAAGTGTTAGTTTGTAATATAAGTAATGTCTTTATGCTTGTGGGTAAACAGTATTTCTTGTTGTTTCTTTCTCAGTGTTGATGTGGAGATTGTCTGCTTTACCTACTCTGGAACATGCAACATATCATTGTTCTTCTTCAGGGGTCCCTTTCAAATCTGTGATACTATATCTCTCACTGTGTGTGAATCATATATCTATATCTATGGCTGGATGGCTCTTTGTCAGGAGGGCTTTGATTACATTTTCTTGCCCTGGTGAAGGGAGTTGGACTGGATGGCCTTAAGTATTTTCTGTTGGTGATGGGGGTTCTGTGTGGGAAGTTTGGCCCAATTCTGTCGTTTGTAGGGTTCAGAATGCTTTTTGATTGTAGGTGAACTATAAATCCCAGTAACTTCAACTCCCAAATGTCAAGGTCTATTTCCCCCAAACTCCATGTTCATATTTGGGCATATGGAATATTTGTGCCAAATTTGGTCCAGATCCATCATTGTTTGAGTCCACAGTGTTCTCTGGATGTAGGTGAACTACAACTCCCTAACTCAAGGTCAATGTCCACCAAACCCTTCTAGTGTTTTCTGTTGGTCATGGGAATCCTGTATACCACGTATGGTTCAATTCACTGATGGAGTTCAGAATGCTCTTTGATTGTAGGTGAACTATAAATCCCAAGAACTACAACTCCCAAATGACAAAATCATTTTTTCTTGAGTGAAAGACATACATTGGGTTGTTAGGTGTATGCTGTCCAAATTTGGTGTAAATTCGTCCAGTGGTTTTTGAGTTATGTTAATCCCACAAACGAACATTACATTTTTATTTATATAGATAGATATATTTCATGTAGTTTACTTTTCCTGATTCTTTGCATCTTTCTTATTTTTTTGCAGATGATTACAAGGAGTTTGGAATCAATTGTGATAAGATGGCAGCTGAAATAGAAGATCATATCCTGTAGATGGTTGAATTGCTCAGGTGTCAGTATGAGCTAGAATAGAGCTGGGGGAATGTGGGACTCTCCAGATGTTGGTGGGACAATACTCTTACAATCTCCCGCCATTGGTCAGTATCATCCAACACTGTCTGAAGGTCTACACCAGGGGTCCTCAAACTTTTTAAACTGGGGGCCAGTTCACTGTCCCATAGACCGTTGGAGGGCCGGACTATAGCTTTTGTAAAAAAAAAAAATCAATAAAAAAATTCCTATGCACATTGCACATATCTTACTTTGCTGTGTGGAAGGGCCCTTAGAGGGGGTTCTTTCTAGCCCTCTTTAGGCAGTAATTCCAGGAGTAGAGAATGGGAAATCTTCCTATTTTTAGTCTGAACAAAATCTGGCTACCAGTATTAAAAAAACTCTAAAATTATAACTGTAAATAAAGAACAACACTCAAACACAGGGGAACTCCAGACAAGAAACATTCAGGGCCAGCTAATCACCTCTCAACAAAGGATTCTCCCTAAAAACTGTCAGGCTATGAAATGGTAGTCAAGGTTGTCAATTGAAACATTCATACCTACCTCCAACAGACAAGAGTTCTTTCTCCCACCCTGGATCTTCCACAATTTTCCTAGTTAAAGGTTTTCCTCTGACATGATGTCCAGTCGTGTCTGACTCTGGGGCATGGTGCTCATCTGCATTTCTAAGTCGAAGAGCTGGCGTTGTCCATAGACACCTCCAAGGTCATGTGGCCGGCATGACTGCATGGAGTGCCGGGACAGCCTCCCTTGGCTGGCTCACGCTGCCCATCGGGCCTGATGGGCAGCTTGAGCCTGCCAAGGGAGGAGCAGCCCCGCGCAGCCTACTCGCGTGTAAAGCACCTCGCATTTTAAGACAGCAAGCTCAGAAATTTGGTTTGGTCCACACTATTAGGTAATCTGTGAAATTTGGAGATTCAACGTTGCATAAACTAGAGGCAGTATTTCAGTGATCACCTTGTGGAGCCCCCGGTGGCGCAGTGGGTTAAAGCCCTGTGCCGGCAGGACTGAAGACCGACAGGTCACAGGTTCGAATCCGGGGAGAAGCGAATGAGCTCCCTCTATCAGCTCCAGCTCCTCATGCGGGAACATGAGAGAAGTCTCCCATAAGGATGATAAAAACATCAAATCATTCAGGCGTCCCCTGGGCAACGTCCTTGCAGACGGCCAATTCTCTCACACCAGGAGTCACTCCTGACACGACAAAAAAAAAAAAAGTGATCACCTTAGGCTTTCCTTTCTTGCCTTGTAAAAAGTCAGCTTGTAGGAATCAAGTATGGGATCCCTGGACTCAAAATGACGCTAAGCTGCATCCCTTCTATTCTACTCCCCTTTACTTCATCTGTTGTGTGCTTGCTCTGTGATTCCTTGACGTGAACACATATCTACCAGGAATTGAGGGGCACAGATATGAAGTACCGTAACAGAGTGAGGAGCCGGATCAGCAACCTGAAAGACCCCAAGAATCCCGGTTTGCGAAGGAATGTTCTTTGTGGAGCCATATCAGCCAGCCGCATTGCAAAGATGACAGCAGAAGTAAGCTTGCAGAACATGTTTATTAATGACCTAGATGGAAGTTCAGAGGGCATGCCTGTAGATGGGACCAAATTAGAAGGGAGAGCTAATACTCCAGAAGACAGGGTCAGAACTCAAAATGACCTTCACAGATTAGAGAGCTGATTGGCCAAAACTAACACAATGGATTTCAACAAGGACAAATAGTAAGATATGACACTGATTCAGAAAATTTAAATGCAAAGATACAAAATGGGGGACACCTGGCTCCACAACAGTCTATGTGAGAAAGATCTTGGGATCTTTGTGGACAGCAAGTTGAACATGAGCCAAGAGTGTGAGGCAGCAGCTCAAAAAGCCAATGGGATTTTGGGCTACATCTAAAGTAGTCTAGTGTCCAGACTGAGGGAAGTCATTGTGTCTCTCTATTCCGCTTTAGTCCAACCTCTTTACCTGGAATCACCCTGTGTCCAATTCTGGGCACCACAAACTAAGCTGGAAGAAGTCCATTGAGGGGAACTAAAATGATCAAAGGTCTGGAGACCATGAATCATAGAATCATAGAGGAGGAATTCATGGTCTCCAGACCTTTGATCACGAGGAGCGTCTTAAAGATCTGGGTCTGTTTAGCCTGCAGAAGAGAAAGTTGAGAGGAGACATGAGAGCCATGTCTAAATAGGTGACAGAGTGTCATAAGGAAGGGGAAGCAGGCTTGTTTTCTGCTGCCCTTGAAACTAGGACTAGGAGCAATGGGTTCAAATGACAGGAAAGGAGATTCTGTTGGACATTAGAAGAACCTCCTGACTGTATGTGCTGTTCAACGGTGGAACTCTCTGCTTTGAGGTCCAGTGGAAGCTCCTTCCTTGGAAGCTTTTAAACAGAGGCTGGATGGCCATCTGGCAGGGATACTTTGATTATACTTTTCCTGCATGGTAGGGGGTTGGACTAGATGGCCTGTGTTGTCTCTTCCTACACTATGCTTCTATCATTCTGTGTTGGTTTAGAGCTTATCTTAAGCACAATGGTCAAAGATCAAATGGTGCAGTAAAAAGGACTTGCGTGCTTAGCAGCAATACTGGTTAGTGATAGAGCAAACAAACAAACTACAGATCTCTGATGGTGCTGCCTGCTCCTCCGCCATCTTTGCATCAATTCCAATCACACTTCTCAATAATGATGATGATGATGTTGATAAGAATAATTGGGTTGCTGTAAGTTTTCCAGGCTGTCGGCATGTTCCAGAAGCATTATCTCCTGACATTTTGCCTGCATCTATGGCAGACATCCTCAGAGGTTGTGAGGTCTGTTGGAAACTAGCCATAGATGCAGGCGAAACGTCAGGAGAGAATGCTTCTGGAACATGGCTATACAGCCCAAAAAACTTACAGCAACCCAGTGATTCCAGCCCTGAAAGCCTTCGACAATACAATAACAATCTATATAAATAAAAATGTAACGTTCGTTTGTGGGATTAACATAACTCAAAAACCACTGGACGGATTGACACCAAATTTGGACACAATACACATATCAGGCCAACGAGTGACCATCACTCATAAAAACACTGAAAAATACAGCAGAAGAGACTTAAAAAGCCAAAAATAAAAATACCATACATATATATATGTGCGTATAATATATGTGTGCACACACATACATATAATATATAGATATGGATGCAAACACATTTATTTATTTATTTATTTACTTACTTACTTACTTACTTACTTACTTACTTACTTACTTACTATATTTGTATACCGCTCTTCTCAGCCCTCAGGGCGACTCAGAGCGGTTAACAATAGCAAATACAATACTTAAACATGATAAAAACAGTTAAGAACAATTTAAAAGAATAACATTATGACAATCAATAAACATCATAACATCTCATCTCGTCTCATAGTTAAAATCAAGATCCAGTCTCATCATCCGATTGTTCCATATTCCTATATTCGTTACACTGCCTATTCAAATGCCTGCTCAAACAACCTTTCCTCCGAAATGCTAACAGGGAGGGGGCCGATCTAATTTCTGTGGGAAGGGCGTTCCACAGCCGAGGGGCCACCACTGAGAAGGCCCTGTCTCTCGTCCCCACCAACCGTACTTGTGATGCAGGCGGGACCAAGAACAGGGCCTCCCCAGACGATCTTAATGTCCTAGCTGATTTATAGGAGGAGATATGTTCGGACAGGTAAGTTAGGCCAGAACCGTTTAGGGCTTTATAGTCTAAGGCCAGCACTTTGAATTGTGCCCGGTAGCAATTGTGCCCAGTATATACACAAAAATATACACACACAAAACACATAAACACAGACTGGGCCACAGCAACGTGTGGCAGGGATGGCTAGTAATAATAATAATTTTATTTCTTACCCGCCTCTCTCTGCTATCCAAAGGTACGTACATGTACTAAAGGCACTGTGATTAGCACCAGAGTTTGGCAAAGTTTCTTTTTCACACTTTCTGTCTTGGCTGAGGGACTCTCAGGGCTACAATACCAAAAAAGGAACTTTCAACGTTCTGCTTTGCTCACAAGGGATACTTTGCTTTTACTCAGGTGATATAGAATTGTGTTGTCCTAATTGTGTCTGATGTTTCGGGAATTCTGATACTCTTGTGCATTTTTAGGAAATGGCTAGTGATGAGCTGAAGGAGCTGCGTAATGCCATGACCCAAGAGGCCATCCGAGAGCATCAGATGGCAAAGACGGGCGGCACCACCACTGACCTCTTCCAGTGTGGGAAATGCAAGAAGAAGAATTGCACATATAATCAGGTGCGCGAAGCTGGATGGGGAATTGAGGAGGGCATCCTACCTAGTTCTTTGCCCTTTCTTTGTTTAGCAGAAGTATGCAAATCAAGCAGATATTCTTAATTTACCTAATAAATTCACATTGTAGAAATCAGATTGTCCTGATGTAGTTTAGCAGTGAAAAGTGACTTGCAGCTGAGTTGGAAATAAAACCTTTGAAATAGAGGCAGGATTTGCAACTCGCATTTTGCAGCTCATATTTGCTTAGAAAAGCAATAAATAAAATAACAAAATAAAATAAACTTTATTTATATTCCGCCCTATCTTCCCAAGGGGACTCAAGGCAGATTCCAACACAAAAAGGCAAACATGCAATGCCTGATACAGCAATAGATAAATACACACCATCAAACCATCCAAACTCCAAAACAGATCAACATGTGCCAAAATTAAGCCCACATATAAAACCAAATCGTAATGTTTTCCTGATCTGGGGTGACTTTCTCCTTCAGGTGCAAACACGGAGTGCTGATGAACCCATGACGACATTTGTCCTCTGCAATGAATGTGGGAACCGATGGAAGGTCTGTATTTTCCTGCATCCTTAAGAACCTACAGAAAGTAGTCTCTCTAGAAACCGGTTTCTTCTTTTTAGTTCTGTCTTATTTAATTATTAAATCTCTTGATCCAGAGATTGGGAACTTCTTTTTTAGTTCTGGCCTAGCTCAACTAAGGTTAGAGCAGCACTTGGTTGAGCTTTCTTAGCTCTCAACCAGCTCATCTAGGGGTTAGAGCAGCCCTTAGTTGAGCCTTCATAGATCTTGTCTAGTTTAACTAGGGGTTACAGCAGCCTTTAGTTGAGCCTTCATAGTTCTAGTTTAGCTCCACTAGGGATTAGACTAGCCCTTCGGTGAGCCTTCTTAGCTCTAGTTTGCTCCAGTAGGGATTAGAATAGCCCTTAGTTGAGCCTTCTTATCGCTAGTCCAGCTCCACTAGGGGTTAGAATAACCCTTAGTTGACCCTTCTTAGCTCCAGTCTCTCTCCACTAGGGATTAGAATAGCCCTTAGTTGAGCCTTCTTAGCTCTAGTCCAGTTCAACTAGGGGTTAGAAAAGCCCTTCGTTGACCCTTCTTAGCTCTAGTCTAGCTCCTCTAGGGGTTAGAATAGCCCTTAGTTGAGCTTTCTTATCTCTAGCCCAGCTCCACTAGGTATTAGAATAGCCCTTAGTTGAGCCTTCTTAGCTCCAGTCTAGCTCCGCTAGGGGTTAGAATAGCCCTTCGTTGAGTCTTCGTAGCTCTAATCCAGCTCATCTAGGGGTTAGAATAGCTCCTAGTTGACCCTTCTTAATTCTAATCCATCTCATCTAGGGGTTAGAACAGCTCTTAGTTTGATAGAGCCTGGCAAATTAGCTGTAATCCTGCACTGTACCGACACAGTGTCCTACATGTAGTTCTGTGTCTGTCCCATGCCCAAAATGTACCTATCAACATTTACTAATGGAGAGGAGAAGGCACCCTGGCATCATCCCAGCTTCAGTTTGGAGAAGGGGGCTATAGCCATCTCTTAAAGCTCCAACAACTCACTGGAAATTCGGATAAGTTCAGCTAGTCCTTGCAGCTAATATTAAGATTACCTCCTCTGCGATGTCCAAAGCAAGCAGGTCACCAACAGGGTTGTAGCTGCTGAGCCTCTCCTTTTGAGTGAACTCAAGATTGGTGGTTCTCATTGCATCTGTCAGAAGTATCCACCCACTCATTGTTTTAAAGTGTTTTCATAACTATCTCATAGTTAACGTATGGTGTTATATTTATAGTTAACTAAGTTGAATTAGATTTGTGTAATTTTGTAAACAACTCTCTGTTGCACCCATGGGGAAAAGGTGAGATAAAACAGATCTATCACTAGGGAGTGAATGAGTTTCTAGTGTAGACTTTACAGTTACTGGATAATCTGTCTTTATTGTATTGTCGAAGGCTTTCATGGCCGGAATCACTGGGTTGTTGTAGGTTTTTTCGGGCTATATGGCCATGGTCTAGAGGCATTCTCTCCTGACGTTTCGCCTGCATCTATGGCAAGCATCCTCAGAGACCTCACTACCTCTGAGGATGCTTGCCATAGATGCAGGCGAAACGTCAGGAGAGAATGCCTCTAGACAATAGCCATATAGCCCGAAAAAACCTACAACAACCCTGTCTTTATTGTCCTGGCAAAGAGCAACACTGTCCAGTTTTACTCCAGAAACAGCCTTAGACACAAGTGAAAGTAAATAAAAAGACTTTACTTCAGCCAAAATAAAGATAATGCAATAAGTGAAACAGAAAGTAGAATCCCGACAATAATGCAGTCTTCAAGCAAATGTAAAACAGAAATCTTCACATCAGATAGAAATTAAAGTCTTTGATAAACCAGCTTGCAAGTTGCATAAACAAATGTCCATAGCCAAGAGCCTACAGCAAGATCTGTCACTGGAACGGAGACACAGTGCTTGGAACAGGAACCCCCCTGAAGTAGGTCAGTTGCAGCAGGAACTGAGCCCCTGACTTTGCTGCTAATTTATAGCCCTGAACTTCCCAGCATAGCTGTCTCTAACACTCAGTTCTCAACCTGGGGCTCGCGACCCTCAGGGGGGTCGCTAGGCCATTTTCTGGGGGTCGTGAAAGCACTTTGGTTGGCCCCACCCCTCCGCCTCCTCAAAATGGCTTTCAGACCATGCCAGGGAAACAGCCAGGCTTTCCAGGTCAGCTCCTTCACCTTGCGCGAGGCGTCCCTCGCCTGCATCACTCTCCCGCCAGCAGGCAGGGGTGCGGAGCAGGCGAGGGCCACTTGACGCAAGACCTTCTGCCAGGCCTCCCTCGCCTGTATCGCTCTCCCACTGGCAGGCAGGGGTGCGGGGCAGGCGAGGGACCCTTCGCGTAAGGCCTTGAGTTCAGAAGGGCGTGGGGGCCAGGTGGAGGGCTACCCTCACGGCCTTGCCATTTGGGCAGCCTTTCTGCCCTGCCCCTGCGCACCCTTCCGAGCTCTTTGATGGCAGGGGAGCTATACATCCCATTAGCTCCCAAATGCCAATGTCTATTTGCCCCAAACTCCACCAGTATTCACATTTGGGCACAATGAGTATCCGTGCCAAGTTAGGTCCATATCCATCATTGTTTTCTGGATGTAGGTGAACTACAACTCCAAAACTCAAGGTCAATGCTCACCAAACCCTTCCAGTATTTTTCGTTGGTCGTGGGAGTTCTGTGTGCCAAGTTTGGTCCAATTCCATTATTGGTGGAGTTCAAAATGCTCTTTGATTGTAGGTGAACTATAAATCCCAGTAAGTACAACTCCCAAGTGACATAATCAATTCTCCCTCCAACCCCACCAGTATTCAAATTTGGGCATATTGGGTAAGGTAAGGTAAAAGTTTTCCCCTGACATTAAGTCCAGTCGTGTCCAACTCTGGGAGTTGGTGCTCAGTTTCTAGGCCAAAGAGCTGGTGTTGTCCATAGACACCTCCAAGCTCATGTGGCTGACATGATGGCATGGAGCACTGTTGTTGGATATTTGTGCCAAATTTGGTCCAGTTAATGAAAATACATCCTGCATTTCAGATATTTACATTATGATTCATAACAGTAACACAATTACAATTAGGAAGTAGCAATAATAATAATTTTATGGTTGGGGGTCACCACAACGTGAGGCGCTGTATTATGGTGTCGCGGCATTAGGAAGGTTGAGAACCACTGCTCTAGCATTTTCTCTGCTAACCTAGCTGATCTCCTTCTGACTTCTTTCTCCCTTCAATGTTCCTAAAACATAGGGATTCTGATATGTTTGCCACCTTTTCTCCTTCACTACTTAGCTCCAAATCCCAAAGCGCTGCATCTTCATCCACCTGTCTTTCTTCTCCCTCAGAATCAGAATAGCAGTCCACAACAAATAGTGTTGGATGGGACTCCTGGAGATTGTATAGTTCAGATTCTAGTTATGTTTTTAAATCACTGAAATGTTTTTAGGGAATGGTTTATAAATCCATTCAGAGGAAACGGGAATGCATCTAGCTATTCTGACAGCATGGCTCCTCCCCAGCTTCCAGTTATGTGTTACTGACGGTTGTATTTAGTTTTCAAATACCAGTCCGACCCCTCCTTGTGCTTTGCGCTCCCAACTTCATATTTTACATATGAAATCTTTTACACTATATTATTTTCTTGCTAGAGGAAAAGGAGGCAGAGGAGGAAAGAAGCACAGAGAGAAAGAAAAAAGAACAATAAGGTGGTGGGGGAGATGAGGAAAGTAAAGCTTTCACTGACTTGTGTTTGAGTGTATGCTGTTTTTAAATTCCACATACATTTCAGAAGGCAGTGCTAACGTAATTGCAGTTTTGCCTTTTTTTGTAATTTATGGTGACTGTGCTCTGTCTTGCAGTTTTGTTGATGCTCCATACGTTTGTATGCCAGCCGTGGATGAAGAAAATGCTGCCCCGTGACAGCGGAAGAAGGCAAATAATCTTCCATGTTTGCTGAAAAAACAGAAAAAAGAGAAAATCCTTCACTTGGAGTTTCAGTTTCTCTTAAATGCAATAGGAATGAATGAATCAGGGGAAGGATGATCTGGCAATGATTTTGGTGGTGCAGTGATGTGATGATGACAAGGCTGGGTTGTGTTCTGCAACTATAATGCGAAATTCTGTACTGAACACACATTTGAGAATTTTGCTTCTTTTTCATCTTCTTTTTAAAAATCCTACGCCTTAAGATTGCAAAGATAGATTTGGAAGTACAGCCTTTGGACAATGTATTGCAAGCATTTCCACATTCAAGGGTGCAGGTGTGTGCAGGATATCACCATTAAAAAAAATCTAGACTGTGGTTCTTCAGTTGCCCTGCAGAACTTCTTGGCACAACTGGCAACAATTTAGTCAGCTCTTGGTGCAAATTCTAGGTAGCGTTGAAAATACAAAGTTCTGATTTGGTTCTCAAAAGTTGAATCTCATACCAGGTGCAATTAGAGGGTGCCACATATTTGAAGGTTGCTTTGGGACACTGACTTTCTAGCAAAGACCCAGGTGGATTGCACCCCAGGAGAAAGCAATGGCATCAGCCACAGTGCCTCCACAATATCATAGACCAGGTCTTGTGTGTTTGAAGAAGAAAGCATTCTCGAAGGTACAATTTCACTCCCTATGTTGTTATTGGTCTATCTTGTCCTGTGAAATTGCTTTATGCTGACAGAAAACACCGTGCCCACGGTGGTGCAACGGGTTACACCAGAGGTCCTCAAACTAACGCCCAGGGCCAGGTATGGCCCTCCAAGGTCATTTACCCGGCCCTTGCTCAAGGTCAACCTAAGTCTGAAATGACTTGAAAGCACACAACAACAACAACAACAACAATGCTATCTCATCAGCCAAAAGTAGGCACACACTTCCCACTGAAATACTAAAAAGTTTATATTTGTTTAAATTGATCTTCATTTTAATTATTGCATTGTTTTAAAGTGTTTTGCACTACAAATAAGATATGTGCAGAGTGCATAGGAATTCATTCAGGGTTTTTTGTTTTTTTCAAATTATAATCCTGCTCTCCAACAGTTTGAGGGACTGTGACCTGGCCCTCTGTTTAAAAAGTTTGAGGATCCCTGGGTTAAATCCTTCTGACTGATAGGTCAGCAGTTCAAATCCAGGGAGAGGGAGTTAAGTTCCCTCTGTCAGTTCCAGCTCCCCATGTGGGGACATGAGAGAAGCCTCCCACAAGGATGGTAAAACATCAAACATCCGGGCATCCCCTGTGCAACATCCTTGCAGACGGCCAATTCTCTCACCCAGAAGCGACTTGCCGTTTCTCAAGTCACTCCCGACACACACACGCACACACACACACACACACAATCTAGATCAGAGAATCATAGAGTTGGAAGAGACCTGGTGGGCCATCCAGTCCAACCCCATTCTGCCAAGAAGCAGGAAAATCACATTCAAAGCATCCCAACAGATGGCCATCCAGCCTCTAAAGAAGGAGCCTGCACCACATTCTGGGTCAAAGAGAGAGAAAGAGTTCCACTGCTGAACAGAACTGTTAGGAAGTTCTTCCTCATGTTCAGGGGGAATCTCCTACCTTTCCTGTAGTTTGAAGCCATTGCTCCATTGTGTCCTAGTCTCCAGGGCAGCAGAAAACAAGTCTGCTTCCTCCTACCTATGACTTCCCCTCTCATCTTGATCCATGGCCCTCAGCCTTCTCTTCTGAAGGCTAAACATACCCAGCTCTTGAAGTCTCTCTGTCCTCATATGGCTTGTTCTCCAGACCCTTGATTCTTTGAGTCGCCCTCTTCCTCTGGACACATTGCAGCTTAGAGTCAATATCTCTATTCAATGGAGGTTCCCAGAATTGGACACAGTGTGCCTCCAGATAAAGTGGTCTGACCAAGGCAGAATAGAATAGAGGGGGTGCATGACTCCCCTTGATCTAGGCACTAGGCTCCAATTGATGCAGGCCAAAATCCCATTTTTTTTTGCTGCCGCCACATGGCAACCCATTTTCTCTAAGCAAAAATTGGAGAAGTTTCTATACAGAAACACCCAGCAGGGTTTCTGGGTGATTCTATAAATTATAATGCAAAATAGAATATTTTTCCAAGCTCTGGTTGAACATGCTCTGCTACCAAAATATGCTCCTCCTTTCCCTTTGTCACCTTGGGAACACAAGGAGAAAGATGGCCAGCTTGCTAGAAAAATTGACTGAAGGTCCCATGCTGCAAAATATAGTTTTGTCAGAGGCAAGTCTTCAACTCCGAAATTCTGACGAGCAGAAGTGAGAAACCCGTCATTCCGAAGATGTTGAAGCAATTTAGCTAGAATGATAGATTATGGAAATCGTAGTCCAAAATCATAGAATTATAGAGGTGGAAGAGACCTCATGGACCATCCAGTCCAACTTCATTCTGCCAAGAAGCAGGAAAGTTGCAGTGCCTGAAATGGGACTGACGGAGTGAGTCTTAACATTTGGTTCTCCAGAGTTGATGGATGCCCAGTTCCCAAAAACTCTGATCAGAATATCTTATGATGTAGGTTTCTTCAATAGAGACAACTGGTGGACTCACGTAAGGTGTGGAATTTACCTTAAATTATAATGATCAGTAGCTATGTATTGGAACTCTCTTGGCCACTACCTTCTTCTTGTCTGCAAGTCCAAATCAGGGAAATGTGGCAGGCTACTTTAGGGGTTGTTTGCATTGTGGAGGAGACCAGATGAAGATGCCATAGAGGTCCGGTTCAAAATTAATGCCGTGCACCTATGCACTTGATCTTCCAGCTGTGGGCTTAGTAACAGCAACTGAGTCTGAGGAGCCACACACTTTTAATTAACTCACAGACCTTGGGATTAAACTGCTTTGGGACAATTTGGGATAGTAGTAGTAGTAGTAATAATAATAATAATAATAATAATAATAATTTATTTATACCCCGCTTAGGGGTATAATCCCGTAGCCAGGATTTCGTTTCGGGGGGGGGGGTGAATTTTTTTCGGGGGGGGGGGGGGGGGCTGAGTCTGAGTGAAAGAGGGTCTAGCCTAGCAAACCTTTTGTATCATTACCCCAATACCCCCATGCATATGGGATATATTGAGTATGGTGATCAGATCATGATATGAATAAACATAACTGTTTAAATAATGCACCAGTAAGGCCTTTTCGCGAACCACCATGAGAATTTCGGGGGGGGGGGCTGAAGCCCCTCAAGCCCCCCCCCCCCCCCCCCCCCCCCCCCCCCCCCCCCCCCCCCCCCGGGCTACATGCCTGACCCTGTTACCATCTCCCAAGGGACTCGGTGTGGCTTACAGGAGGATGAGCCCACAATACATCAATAATAAAGCAATAACAACAAATAATACAAAACAATAAAATAAAACTCATAACAAAAAAGCAATAAACATTAACAATAACAAAGCAACAGTTAAAACCTATGGCTGGGTCAGATGTAATAATTAAAATTTAAAGATAATGCTGAGCATGAACAGATAAATAGGAACTAGGATAGAGTTTTCAGAGAGGGATGGGGCATGCAGACATTCCTAGATCCATAGTAAAGTGCATTTAGAGGACATATTGCTGGGAGTTTCCTTATTCTGGGAAGGCACACTGGAACAAACACGTTTTCAGGCTCCTCCTAAAGACTGCCAGAGTTGGGGAATGCCTGATGTCCTTAGGGAGTGAGTTCCAGAGTCGAGGGGCCACCACCGAGAAAGCCCTCTCCCTCGTCCCCACCAATTGCGCCTGCGATGTAGGTGGGAGCGTGAGCAGGGCCTCTCCAGATGATCGAAGGGGTCATGTGGGTTCGTACACAGAAATGCGGTCACGCAGGTAGGAGGGTCCCAAACTGTTCAGGCCACTACCTGTCCAATAGCTCCAGCTACTGCTGTTGCCACTGCCATTTAGTTAAGCTTGGGTCTGGATCCTGCTTTGTATGGCCCTAAGGAGAGTGTGGAAATTATAGTCCCCTGAAATAATGTATGTGCCTTTGTACTCGGGGCTGAAGATTTTCTCAGCAATGTCAGATGCTGCCCAGGCTCTCAGGACAGAAATGAGAACTCAGGTTTGTCTGAACAGTCGTATTATTGGACAGTACAGCTTTGTACAGTTCCAGGGATTTAATGATTTGGAGTGTAGTGGCCCCTCAGCTTGTAAAGCAGTTCCCAAATACCACCAATGAATATGGACATAATCCACAAGAAAATGGGTTATGTGCACATGCCAACTGTTCTGCAAAGAAAACATGATAGTTGTTTTTCTAGCAGAATGTTGCAATAGAAACACGGATTTCTGGGTTGAAAGCACCAGCAAATCGTATGAGATCAGCAAGGAAAATGTCATCTAATATCCTGCAGTTCTCCCTGCTCTCCTAAACCTGGCTTCAGTCTTCATAGCAACTGGGAGAAATAGATCTTCACAGCAAGAGTATACTGTTAAAAAGTTTTTCCCTGCTGAGAGAGGCTTGCCTTGATGAGGAAATTTAAGAGCCATTAGGAATACTCCGTGTGGAAATAAATACTCTTCGAACAGATTTAGTTCAACATAACTATGCACATTTTCGACTTTCTTTGCCGGCATGCTCATGATGAGTAACTGCATCTCGAAATTGGTAACTACTAACTACAGCACTCAAATAACAAAAATCCAGACCTTGGAAATGATACTTCAGTAATCCAGATCTGTAGTGACTTTACTCACTATGGAATTGTACTCCAAAAAAATTTAAATAGCCAAGGTGTTTTTGAGTTACTGACAAAATCTTTATGGCCCCCTTTGGTGGCCTCCTTAACATATGTCAGGGTTCCAGCTTCTTTATACAATGGCCCAGAGCCATGCTCTTGTTTATGGATTGCAGCAAATTGCAATGACAACCCACCAGCCAATTCTGATGAGACAACTAGAATTGTGTTTAAAGAGGTCAAGGGAATGTCAACATCAGCCGGTCTTGCTGGAGCCCTGGCCGCCTGCCCAAGGGGACTGTGTGCTTAGCACTGGAGCCTGTGTTTGCTAGAAGCTTAGGTGTTCGAGCCAGGCCTTCCAGCCATTTTAACTTGTCCAAGTAAAGCATTGTAGATCATAAAGGCATTTGGCACATGAACCACAGGAGGGTCATCCAGATCATTTGCTGCTATTCCAACATGTGTCTTGCATCTGATAACAAGAACTCTACATTTTCTGTCTAGTAATTCTATGGCATCTGTCCTTTTTGTACTCCAGAAATAACCCAGTCCTTAAATACCACACCAGCTTGGTATAATCGGCAAGCAGTTTATTGAAGAATATATGTAAGCAAAGCAATACAAATGGTAAAAACACTCTAGTCTGAAGATAAAAGATAGTCCAT